TAATTTTTAGGTGTCTTACCTATCCTCACCCCTCCCTTGTTGCTCTCGCTTTTATATGTGCTCAAAGTCCTCATCCCATTGTTGTGTTTGCCTTGATCTAATGTTCACATATGAGGGAGAATATACGATTTTGGTTCTTTTGGGCCAGGCTGTAACCTCACTCAGAATGATGTTCTCCAATTCCATCCATTTACCAGCGAATGATAACATTTCGTTCTTCTTCATGGCTGCATAAAATGCCATTGTGTATAGATACCACATTTTCTTAATCCATTCGTCAGTGGTGGGGCATCTTGGCTGTTTCCATAACTTGGCTATTGTGAATAGTGCCGCAATAAACATGGGTGTGGAGGTGCCTCTGTAGTAACCTGTGTCACAGTCTTTTGGCAGACAGGTGCTCTTACCATTTGAGCTACTCTGCCAGCCCTAGAGGTTTTTTTAATATATAGAAAACACAGATTTCCTAACAGTGACTACAGAGTTACTGTGCATGATACAAATATTTTTACTATCCCCTGGCATTATAGAGCTTATTGATATTAATAAATCAATACATCAGAAAATGTTAATATCCATAGGCATGTAACTTACAAATTTTTAATGTCTGTATCACTAATAATAGGACTTATTTTTCCATAGCACACTTTGATGTTAACCATCAATGGTTAGTAACATACAATGAAGTATTCTGGAAAAGAAAGATATCACGGAAGAGCAGAGGTACAGCAAGCTAAGGTTATCAGAACATGTACTAGTTGAACAAATGTCTCAGTTTTGGAAATGTTAACTAAACTATCACGATAGCAACACAAGAGCTCAAAGCTAACTGATGTCCCATTGCTCTGTATTTTTGTGTCAGCCTCAGTCAAAGCAACCACAGATCTGAACTGTGCTGGCTCAGTGAGTACAACACAAACAGATGTGATCAGAACTTCAACTATGCTTTTCTGGATACATGATCAGAACCTCAACTTTGCTTTTCTGATCTTAGCAGCTGCTGAAGAGACTCACAACTTCAACTCTCTCCAAAGTTCATACCGTTTTCTATTCTGTTCCAATTACGTCTCTTCAGCAAGAGTGTTCCTAGTGACCCAACCCTCTTCTTTCACAAGGTTATAGAACTTGTGTTTATTCCCCAAATGAGTACAGCAGTGTGCCTTCTCTCCAGTGCACCTATGTTTCCATACGTGTACCTGGTCATGAGTCAGTGTGACAGTCTGAGAGGGTCTCCACTGCCTTAATGCTTCCCTGGTACAAAGCTCAGCATCTAAGGGACAAGATGACTCCTTCTCCCAGGGCCAACTTCCCATACAAAAGAAAGCTTTAGACTCCATGCAACTTAGCCTCCAAGCAAGCAGACTAAAACAGCCAGGAGAATGACGTGTATGCAAAGTGTGGTGGCAATTTTCAGAAAGGACACAGAGACAAATGTCCATCACAGAATTGTTTGGCACATTTACACAAAGAGCCAAACATCAAATACTGTTAAGGCTATCAGATGTAAGGTGGAATTACAGCAATGCAGAAGAAAACATAAACAATTATTTTTAGCCTCTTGAATCCTCTACTTAGGGAAGAAAATACCTTCAGTCAAACATCTGATAGTTTTTCCTCTTATTCCATACTTTCTTCTTACTGGTTTTGAGAATAGTAATCATTAGTTTCAGGTAGCCACATAAGGAAGACAATATACTATTGGATTGCACTGTTATAAGAAAGGCTTTCTGAAAAAAGAGTTTGGATGTAATTCAGCAATTGTGATTTCTCACAAACTAGCTTTATATATAAATTCCAGCTTCTTCCTCCATAGTAGGTAAACATTCTAAATGTGATGATTAATTTGCAACAATAATTAAGTACTTCACCTTAAATGTTATGTTCCACAATCTAGCTCAAAGCAGAAAATCTGGTTCACTTACAGACTTAGCAATGGCATGAATGACTCTTGAAAATCCCACAGCATCATTCAGCTCCTCCTAATTAAAAAAAAAAAAGAAAGAAAAAGTGATTGAGGTACACTGTATTTCTTATTTGAACTAAAACCCTAGCTCCCCTCAAAATGAAATTTTATATCAAGTAATATGGTATTATTGTTACAAGCTTTGTACTCAGTATCCTAAGTAACTGCATCTAAAATGATTTATGACACAACTGTATTGTTTTAGAAGGTAAAATAAGCAGGTGACAAGTTACTTACTGAAAGAACAGTGCCCAGAGTTTACTGATCACTTCATACAATTTGTTAAAATTTCCAAGTCAGTCAAGTATCTTTAAATCAAAACAAAAATCCCCACAACTTCAGAAAGTGGCCACCTGCTGGCTAATCTCAATAATGCATTAACTTTTGAGGAAACCCATCCAGCAGCTGACAGAATTCCTGACTTTTTTTTTCCTTGACAAATGGCATTTTACCAAAATTTTAAAGCAAGCTCTTAGACTCATCCCTCCTCACCATCTTCTAATTTTCTTCCCCACAGTACTTACATAGGCTAAATGTCTCTCCTACCTCAAAACCCAGCCTTATCTCTAAGCCCCTTCTTGTCTTCTCATAACTAACTTGCATAAAAGACTTTGCACTCATTCGCCGTGCCTTCTCTTCCAGGTGCTGCCAGCCCTCTGCTATTTGGCTTCAACCTCCTTGAAATTGCTCACCACTTTAAAACTATTCCCAAGGCTAACAAGTGTTTTCAAGGATGTAGAGAAAATGAGACCTCTGTGCACTGTTGGTGGGGATGGAAAATGGTACAGCTGCACTGGTTGGGTGGTTCATATGGTATAGCTTGCCTAGCCAAACACAAGACCCTGAGTTCAATTCCCTGTATTGGAAAAAGAAAAGAAATGAAGACATATTTGCACACTCACGTTCACAGCGGCATTATTCAAAACAGCCAAAGCAACCAAAGTGTCTATCAACAAATAAATACATAGTATATCATACAATAGATACTACTCAGTCTTTAAAGTGAAGGAAATTCAGACACATCCTATAAGACTGACGACACCTTCAGGACACTATGCTAAGAGAAATCAGTCAGTCACAAAAAAACAAAACTGCAAGAGTCCACTTATATGACATACTGAGAGGGTCAAATTCTCAGAAAGAGAACGTGGAATGGTGGTTGCCAGGGGCTGGAGGCAGAGGGAAATGCAGAGTTGTTTAAAGAGCACAGAGCTTCAGTTTTGCAAGATGAAAACAGTTCTGGAGATGTATGGTACTGATGGTTGCACACGTGAAGGTACTTACCGCCACTGAACAGTTAAAATGGTAAATTATGTTATGTGTATTTAACCACAATTAAAACAAAAAAAAATTTTTTTAAATATTAACAGAGTTCAGCCCAAGGCCTTGCTTTAGTCTTCACCCTGACCTCTAAAAGTATCCGACACTGCTGGCCACCCTTCTTCAGACACACTCTTCCCTTGGCTGTGTCACAATAATCTGCACCCTTGTCCTGCTTCTGCCTAGCAACTAAACACCTGTCCTCAGGATTCTACCCAGGCCCTGTGCTCAATCCTCACACATGCTGTAGGTGTTCTGATCCCGTCTTGGTCTCTCTGCCAATGACAACCACACCCAGACCTCACCTCTCTCCAGCTCTCACGAGTGACAAAACTGCAGACACAACAACCACAATGGAGTCCCAAGGCACCTAAAACCTCACTGGGTCAAAAGCAGAGAAAACATCTCCCACTGTGGAGGAACTAGTCCACCATGGTGTCCTGACGACCTGGCACATATCCAAATAGGTCATGCGGGTAAAAACAAGTCTGTGTCCTGGTGGAAACCCTGAGGAAATGGTAGAAGAGGCTGCTATGAGGCCATTTTCCACCCACCCACCTATCATTTCTGGGAGGCTGTGAAGAGGTAGCTCCTCCTGCCCCCGGGTTCTGGGGTGTGGGATTTTCTGCCCTGCCCCTCAGCATAGAGCTGCAGAATACAAGAGCACTGAACTCCAGTCTGCACATGGAGACTGGAGTATCCCATAACCACACTGGTATGGGATATAACGGGGTATCCCATAGCCACACTGCAGTCATCTCGCCCCTTCTGTTTCAGTGTTGTCCTCTTTGCTGTGGGGTACAAGGACCATAAGCAGCTGGCACCTTTGGTTAATTTTACCTTCTGTTTAGGTAGCAAGCTGTCTAAATCTGAAAGTGGCTCATTGTATCTCCACTGGTTAAGTCAGTCACGAATAGTCCTGTCTTGAATATGTATGTGCTTGACATCTACCACAGCCAAACCCACTCATGGCCTCCTCCACCTGTGTCCCCACCATCACTCCAGCTACTCCATCTAAATGAACTGACTATAGTCTCCCAGCTGCTCAGATTTCTGGATGAAGCATCTTCTTTCTCCCTTCCTGTCACCAGCCATGTCCAATCACAAATTCCAATGGTGCTACCTTCCAAGTATCTCCAGAGTCTGTCAATACTAGTTTTAACTCTCCTGTTCCCAGTCACCAACATCTTTAGTGAGGTTACTCCAGCTTCACTGGACTCCAGGCCTCCAGTCTTACTCATTCAAATCCATTTCTCGCACAGCAACAAGAGAGAAATGTCAGCAAGGCAAGTAAATTGCATTGTTCCAAGCAGTCAGGTCACATGTTCTGAACTGGTTTAGGAAAACTATTAACTACACAGACATGGCAACATTAGGTAATTTGCAATGAAGCTCAATAGACAACCTGAATGACAATCAAGAACATTTTCTTTTTCTTTTTATTGATTTACTTATTTATTTTTGCAGTGCTGTTAATAGAACCCAGAGTCTCGCATATGCTAGGCAAGTACTCTAACACTGAGCTACACACCTGGCCTCCAGAATTACTTTCTTCAAGACTGCTACACCTTAGTGGAGACTGGCTAACTGTATCAGACTCACTTTGTTAGTTATGTCTAATGCTTAAATTTAACTTTCCTTAATTCTAACCCAAGTTTTTTCCACCAATTCTTCTATGGTATGAAACTATTCATTAAATGGAATCCAGCATTATCCAGGTGTGGTAGTACATGTCTGTAATCCCAGCACTCAGGAGGCTGCGGCAGGAGTGCAGTTCAAGGCCAGCCTGGGCTACATAGTGAGATCCTGTCTCAAAAAAAAGAGTGGGCATAGTAGTGCATGTCTGTAATCCCAGAAACTCAGGAAACAGATCGATGAGATTCTATCTCAAAAACAGGGCTGGGTACAGTGGTTCATGCCTATAATCTAGGAAGCAGAAATCAGGAAGATTATGATTGAAGACCAGCCTCGGAGAGCCTATCTCAACAAATAAGCTGGGTACAGTGGTCCAAATCTCTAATCCTAGCTACACAACAGGAGATATAGGTAGAAGGATCACCATCTGAGGCTAGCTTAGTCAAAAGCTCAAGACCCTATGCAAAAAAAATAAAGTACTGGGCACCAGGGGCTCACACCCATAATCCTAACTACTTGAGAGGCTGAGATTGGGAGAATTATAGTTTGAAGCCAGCCTGAGCAAACAGATCTCAAGACCCATACCAAAATGACCACAGCAAAATGGACTGGCAGTGTGGCTCAAGCAGCAGAGTGCCTGCTTTGCAAGCACAAAACCTTGCATTCAAACCCCAGTACCACACACACACACACACAAGACTACAGTAAAAAAGGGCTAGGATGTGACTCAAATGGTAGAGTGACTGCCTAGTAAGTGCAAGGCCCGGAGTTCAAATCCCAGAACCACCACAAAAATTCAACGAATAAAATTAATTAAAAAATAAATCAAACCCAACCATTTCGGTACCTAGATACACGTGGAAAGCGCGAGTCTCTGCGCCACCACTGCTCTCCGTTACCTGCTCCTTGGCATGCTTCTGCTGCTCTCTTCTTTTGCGTTCTTCTTCATCCACCTTGCTGATAACTATGTATCGCTCCTTCTAGAAGACAAAGCACACATACAATTTTCTGGAAGAAATTTGACCCACAAATCTAAACTTCAGCCATCAGAAGTTATAATTTTAGGGACTGAGGGTGGGACTCAAGGGGAAGAGCTCCTGCCCAGTAAGAGCGCAAGGCCCTTAGTTCAAACCCCAGTATCACCAAAAGAAAAGCATTATAATTTTTCATGGGCCAAGCACAGCAAAGTATTTTGAAATACCACCAAAAGTTGAGCTGACACATTACAAAGGTCTGTGTTTCCATGACATTTTTCGGAGTTTATTATCACCAATAGATATCAGTTAAAAGATTAACATTGATCTCCAGCAACACAAAAGAAAGTATCAGCAGACTGTAAGAATAACACATTTTCTACAATGAAATGAAATGTTATAGAGTATTTGAGCATGAATTTCTAAATAATTAGTTTCAAGGTAAAATTTTCAAGTCATATTTTAAGGTCATAAGGAAAAAACTTTGAGGAACCAAATAACTACACTGCTTTCTTTCTTATACACTGCATTTTGTATCCACTAAACACATCACAAAACCTTCTGTATCTAAGTTTGAGGTCTATCTTCTAATGAGTGTTTTTAAATTTATATAATTTCTAACTTGATATCTGACTTAACAGCAACACTGAACTCAAAAATCTATAATTTACAAAAAAGCATCTAGCACTAGCCACCCATTACCCATCACGGGGCCACTGGTGCACCTTGGGAATCCATGACAATAGCTACACTTATGACTCAGATGCTACCATTTAAGTTTACCGGCCAACGTAACACAAAGCAATAGTGAGAATGTGCACGTGAACTTTCAATGTTTTCTGTATATTTGTGTATACTTTCAAGTTTACATAGCATGCTCACTTGCACTTATCCAGTGGATCACCGTAAAAAAGCTGTGACTCAAAGCCAAGTTGAAACCCCACAAAAAAAAAAAAAGAAAAAAGTTGTGAGCTGGGCTGGGGTACACTTTAGTAGTAGAGTGCTCACCAGCATTAGTGAGGCCTGGGTTTGAGCTCCAGCAAAAAACAAACCCAAAAAAAAAAAAAAAAACCATAGTGAGCTAGGTATAGATCATAACCTTCATACTCAGCCCCAGTGTACAAATGAGGAAAATGAGGCTTTGACAGGTTAAATAACTCGCCCAAGGTCACCAGCTCATAATTGGCAAACCCATGGTGTAAATGCTAACTTTTAACACATCAGTGGAACACTGGGTCTGTTTATTGTTAGTTAGTTCTGAATAATTCTTGGGGTTACCTTTTCAGTTTCTAAAGTCTCAACATGAATCCCTTTAGGATATCTAAAGAAAAAAGGAAAACATGACATCAGTACGAGTCAATGACTGAGAAAACCCAAAGTCTTTGAAAAGCAACTATGTAGCTATAAACTAAATTTTATTACTACAGAGTAATTATTACTACAAAGACAACCTTATAGTAAGCTCATTCCCTAACATTCCAATGGCTAAATGTTTCCCTATCACTGCTCTTGAATGCACAGGAATATATCAATTTCAAATTCATTTTTTAGCACTTTAGCATTTTCTAAAATGCCTTGCATCTCATAAGATAGTCAACTCATTACCACACAAATTATGCTTCCAAAAATAATAATGCCTACTTCCTAACTGAAGTTTTGCAGGTCTCTTCAGATTGCATGGGGCATACAAAGGGAAAGTTTGGGAGGGCCGGCTGTGGCTTGATAATTTGCATCAATCAAGGAGAGAGATCCGGAAAGCACGTGGTGTTAGGTATAAGGAAAGATGACAGGAAAGCAACCTGAGCAAGCCAGCTGATGGCCCTCTGCTGTTTCGTTTGAACTGTATTCAGCAGACATGTCCCTGGCAGACTGGTTTTTGTGTTTGTTTGCAGTGCTGGGGATCAAATCAAGAGCCTCTGCATGCTAGGGAGGCACCTGTACTTCAAGCCACACCCACAGTTCCACACTGGCATAATCTAAGTGAAGAGTAGAGGAACAAGAACCCAAGAGTCAATTGAATGCCCATCTGTGTAATACCGACATTCAGTTTTTGAGTTAGTCACATGAAATCAACCAAGGGAAAAATCCCCAGAAAAAATACATGCACAAAACTTTGGATGTTATTTCAGACTTACAAACCTCTTGAAACCAACCAAGGTATAACTTCAAGAACACTTGCATTAGAAAAAGTGTTCATGTGAGTATTTTCTAGGACTTAAAAATAAATCTTTATCACATACCTTCAAAAACAAAAACACAACACGGCCAAACAGAAATGGTAACAAGCCAGGAACAAGTGGCTCATGCCTGTAATCCTGGCTACTCAGGAGGCAGGATCAGGAAGATCGAGGTTCAAAAATACTCAACACAAAAAAGGGAGTGGCTCAACTGGTAAGAGCAACTGTCTAACAAGCATGAGGCCCTGAGTTCAAACCCCAGTACTGCCACAAAAAAAAAAAAAAAAAAGGTGGTAGAGGGAATTGGTATGGTCAAGTCACAAAAACCCGTAGAACTTCAAAAAGGAAATGAGAACAGAGGTTATATTTAATTCTTAAATCCTGGGTCCTTCACAAAGCTCTCTAACACAATATAAACACTTACTTCCAGCTCAAAGTCTGATAAATTAGCTTTCTTTGGAACCTATAAAAACAAAAGAAAACATATTAATTTGGCTCATTAAAAGTAAACTGCAACCAAGCAGTAGCTGAGAACTTCATTACAGGTATGTGTAAACAAAATGTCTTCACAACAGGTAATGTGTTAAAAAAGAAAAAAATAGGAAGGATATTTGGAGTGGAAGGATTCCTCATCACTTGTCTCTATCAAAATTCTAATGTTACTTATTGTTTTTAGAGAAAAGGTAGCTCTCATCTAATGAAAACATCACTTCCTGCAGTCGTATGGACAGAGTTTAAAGGAGCTACTTTGATGATGCTCATTACCAAGCAAAAGGAGAAACAGGATGAGACACTGGCTCTGGAGCACTGACGTCATCACTGCAGAGGGAATTAAAAGGACAGTGAGTCCTTCTGAAGCCTTGTGTATTAAGTACTCCTCAAGCCAAAGCACAACCTAAAGTCAAGCTCCACAGATTTCCCTGCCCTCCTCAACAGGACTGAGCACTCATTCAGTGCCTCGACATATAATCAATCGCCCCACTGTGACAATGCTAAACTTAGCGCTTAACCCTAGGGAGCACCTGTAATAGAATATTTATAAGGATGGCTTTTTAAGACCAAATGCTTCAAATGCCAAAAATTATCTCCCCTTCCAAAAAAATAACATGTGAAAATGTATAGAACAACTAACCCAGTACACGGCTCTAAATCCAAGTTCTTATTTTCTTCACTTTGTAATAAATCTTCTATTTTCGCTCTGAGGGAGTAGAATAAGACCACGTCTATCAGTACCTTTAAGGAATGAAGTCATCAACTAAGAGCAATCACACTCAAAATCATACTAAAACAATCACTAATAATCATACTCAAAAGCAATCTAAATATAAGAATACGCATTTCTTATACATATAGTTCTTATTTCTGTGCATTCAACAAATCACCTAATAACTTTTTATTTCAAAAACTTAGAAAAAATGTTTTATTTTAGCATATGACATTAGTGAATTAGTGACAACTTCTCAAGAAGTTGTCAAAACCAGTGATTTAATTTTTGCCTTTTCTAGTAAAGTATTTACACTGATAACTACACTGGAGCAAAATCAGACACTCCTCCATGGGCAGATTTGCTTGTCAAAACTTGACTATGAGAGAAAAAAAGGATTGTACATGCTGCAGCCTGACAGGGTCTGATCCACTCCTCTGGCTTCAGGGAAACTGGGCACAGCTGTCAGGCCTTGGTCCAAGCAAGTCTGACCACTTGCTAAGCTTTCTTGCCTAGTGACATGAAGCAAACCCAAGTGTGATACAATTTGCAGCTGTTGCACAAATTAGGATATGCCATGATTAGATCCTGCCACTCACATCACACTTGCGTGTGTACCTAAAGGAGCAACATAGGAATGAGAAACAGACAACAATCCAGCCCCAGTGCACATTTGGTTTTAGTTTTGAGACTTACACCACTTGGTCAATAAACAACTTCTGATCTTCAGGAATTGTCACAGGACATTTTGAAGTGTTTGGAGATACATAGGCCAGAGCTCCTGCCCCATTGGCCTGCGAACGTTTTTCATCATACTGCTCTCTCAGCTGTCTTTCTTCTTCCTGATTTAAATACGGAATTCCTAAACATAAATCCAACAAGAATGAATCAGAAGTAAATGTTTCACATAAAAGTTTTTTAATATACTGAAGAGTCTGCAATGCATGTTAGATTTAACTACATCTCAAAAAAATAACACAGAAAACAAGTGATTTCTTAATGTGTTTGTTCATTCATTCTTCTTTCAATAAATATTTATTTGCCACTTGTGTTGTGCCAAGCATTATATTAGGCACTGGGGAAGTGACAAAGAACAAGCAGATGCACCCTGCTGTAGTGAAGGGAATTACTTCTCTCCCCTACCCCCCTCAAATGATCAGAAAAGGCTACTGTAAGGGAAAACCCAAAAGACAAGAATGAGTCAGATATACAAAGGGCCAAGAAAGGGCTTTTTCAGGAAGGGAAAATGAGTAAAATGCCCAGAGGGTTGAAATGGCTGGTACTTTTCAGAAATAGCAAGGAAGCTGGTATGGTCCGGACACAGGGAGCAAAAGGTGAGCAGATGACCTCAGGTTGGACAGAGGATGGGGCAAAATCATGGAGGTTCTTATAGGCCATGGTAAGAAATGTTAATCTAAGAGCACTAGAAGGTTTTAAGCATTGATTAGGCAAGACAAGATATTATTTGCTTCAAGTTTGAAAGGTCATGTTGACTATGCTAAAAGTAGTAGGAGTTAGAAACAATCGTGTAGTCAAGACATGACAGCTCAGATCAGAGATCAGCAAACTTTTATCTTAAACGGACAGACAGTAAATGTTTCAGGCTATGAGTCTTACTGAGGTCTTTGTCCAAAACTCATACCCGCTATGTAGCACAGAAGTAGTCACACACAAAGTGCACATGTATGGGCATGACAGTGTTCCAATAAAAGTAATTTACAAAATAGGCAGCCAGGGAATGACTCTGGCTTAGACCAGGGAGGTGGAGGATAGAGGAAAACAGTGATTTTCAAAGCAGGATAGACAGAACTTACTAAAATATATGAAAATTTGGGGGCTAGGGGTTATATTCAGTGGCAGAGCACAGGCTTAGCACATAATACCCTATATTCCATCCCTAGCACCAGAGAAGGGGGAAAAAAAGAATGAAACTTAGCTCTCTGATTTGAACAATTGGGAAGAGGCAGTGAAAACTACAGGAAGAAGAGGTCTGAGGGCCCACAAGGTGAAAATCAAATGCTACCCTCTGGACATATTAAATTATCTAACAATATATGTAAATTAAGGACTGCAAATACAAGCTAAAGCTCAAGGGAAAGGTGTTGCAACACGAATCCAGTTATCATCTGGAAATGGCGGTACTAAAAACCACGGAACACTAGCAAACTTTGTAGAAAGAATGATGGCATTAGGCCATGCATGGTGGTGAACACCTGTAGTCCCAGTATTCAAGTCACTAAGGCAGGAGGAACTTGAGTTCAAGACCAGCCTTAGCTACACAGCAAATTCAAGGCCAATCTGGGCTATTTATTGAGACCGTGTCTCAAAAAACACCCCACGAATGACAGAATTAGGAAAACAGTATTTGTCAACGACAGAAATTTTTCAAAGCAAGAATCATCAATGGATGCTGAAACTAACTGGTAAGAAAAGTGATCCAACAGTGACCGCCATCAATGTCACATGCCTTCTGAGAGGGTGCCCTGAGAACACACACTTGCTTCCATGAAATTCCTGCCAAAAATGAATAAATTCTTTTGGACAGGTTTGAGGAAACATCAGAAAATTCTGAATAGGTGGGCATTCTGCAAAATAATTAACCTCCACTATTCAAAAATGTGAAGGTGGGGAGAGGGATTGTAACTCTGTGGTAGAGCGCTAGCCTAACATGCACCAGACCTTGGGTTAGATCCCCAGCATCACACAAAAAAAAAAAAAAAAGAAAGAAAGTAATAAGCTGGAGCTGAAGCTCAAGCAATAGGGTGCCTGCCTAGCAAGCAAGAAGCTCTGAGTTCAAACCCCAGTACTGCCCCAAAAAAAGGTAATAATAAAAATAAAAATAAGGGCTAGCAGAGTGGCTCAAGTTGTAAGAACACCTGCCTAGCAAGCATGAAACTCTTGAGTTCAAATTCTAGTACCACCAATAAATAAATAAATAAATATTAAAAAGCTGTACAACATACAAGACCAACTAGGGACAGTAATAAGTAGAAGCTATCGAGGCAAGAAAGAGCCAATCAGGACATCAAGGAGTCATGTGAGGCAGGAGAGAAACCAGAGGAAGAGCACTGAAGCCAGGAGGAGAGCATTGGGAGTAATCAGCCAGATCCAACTCTAGCCAATGGTAGAAAAAGAAGAGAACAAAGAGGGATCCACTGGACTTGAGATCATGACAAGTCCCAAAGTAGGTGGCCAGTACAGTGTCCATGGAGGATGCAGAAGAAAGTCTGGTTTGGTGAGGGGTGGGTGGGAGGTGGAGGTGGGAAGAGTGAAGATAAAAAACTGCAAAGTGGGCTGGGGGTGTGCATAGCATGCATGAAGTTCTGGGTTCCATTCCAGCACTCAAAAAAAAAGAAAGAAAGAAAGAAACTGGAAAGGAAGTGGAAACAGTCAAGGCACTTTGCTCAGAGTGGAGACATCACAAGGTAGAAAGGCACCGGGACGTGGAATCAAGTGAAGGGCGTGGTGATGTCGGGTTTGGTTATTTTGTGGAGGTATTTCTCAGGAATGCTTAATGTTCTAGTGTCACAGGTCTCTTTGGCATCTCATGAAGCATACAGACCTACATTCCTCCCTCAGAATAATGGTTTTAAATGCAAAAAAATAAAATATTAAGATCATAAAGGAAGGCAAGTATATTGAAATAGCCTATAAAAACACTTTTAAGGGCTGGGGGCATGGTTCAAGGGATAGAGCACTTGCCTTGCAAGAGGCCCTGGGCTCAATTCCTAGTACAATAAATAAATTAATTAAACAAATAAACACTTTTAAGCATGATACAGTAATAGAGTATTTCTGCTTTTTGATCAACACATTAAATGACAAATGTAGTGGCAAGTGAAATAAACCATAATAGCTATGAAGTATTGGTGAATATGAACAATATTCATGATACACACAACTACTAAAATGTCATCTGGGATGGGGGCCCAACTCAGTGGTAGAGCCTTACATAGCATGTACTGGCCCTGGGTTCCAGCAGTGCTCCCCCATGGGGAAAAAAAAAAAAACTTACAAGAAAACAATACCAAAAAGGAGCAAACCTTCATGACTTTTTGTTTAAATAAATAAAAATAACAAAATAAATATGTCATTTGAAGACACCTGGGATTTTTCACTGGTGCCATAGTCCCAGATGTGTTATCACTGGCGTGGGTATTGTCTATATTCATAATAAAAGAAACTGCTGGGCCGAACCCAGTAGCTCAAGCCTGTAGTCCTAGCTACTTGGGAGATGGAGATCAGAAGGATCAAATTTTGAGGCCAGCCCCAGACAAAAAGTTGATCAAACCCCCATTTCAATGACTGAGAGTGGCGGCACATGTTTGTCATCCCAGCTACACAGGAACTGTAAATAAAAGAATCGTGGTTGAGGCTAGCTAGGGCATAAACATGAAATTCCATCTCAAAAATAACCAAAAACAGCTAGCGATGTGGCTCAAGTGCTAGAACACCTGCCTAGCAAGAGTGAGGCCCTGAGTTTAACCCCCAGCACTGCCAGAAGGGAAAAAGAAGAAACTGCTAAATTTTAGTTCAAGGTTAGGAAGTAGAGATGTAAGTGTTTTCCCCTCCAAGTTCAGACTCCTGAATTCTATCTATGGGGAGCAGTAGTACCTGTGGACTAGGCTAAGGAGCTCTGTACTCATAACATGCTAAGAAAGATGGATGGTGCTGGGCATGGCAGAGCACACCTGCAATCCCAGCACTCAAGAGGATCCCAAGTTCAAGGCCAGCCTGAGCTACATATGAAATCTTTCCTGTCTTAAAAAAAAAAAAAGATTGATGGTAATGACATCATAGAGAAGAAAAATAACAATTCAGGAATGAGTAAAGCCAAGAAAAGGAGCTAGTGGGTGACAAGGACTCTTCCTCCACTATAAAGGAGGGAGGCAAAAATGCTAGGTTCAGACTTGGAACCAACTGGATGTGGTGGCGAATATGAGCAGCTCCTTTCTCATAGTTTCCGTTTGTACTAGGGAGACATGGTCATGGGCCGGGATGAGAAGTTCATGGGAAGAGATGGTAAAAAAGAGACATTTGCAAGAGTTGAAGAGGGAATTTCTACAGCAGGAAAATAGGACTTTGAGTACAACTTGGTTGAATTCTGTAACCATGAATTCTGAGTAACAGATTTTCCATTAATGTCATGTTTCCCAGCAATATTCAGATGCTTCAAAACAGGGAAGGTGAATAGTCAGACTCAAACAGACCTGGGACTTTGCTAGGCAAGCTAAATGGAGGAAGACAGAAGCAAGAAAATGAAGGAAGGTCATGATGTAGGTAAGTAGGAAGGTCAAGGTCAAAGAACAGACAGGGAAAAAGCTATGGAGGTTAAGAGTGCTGAAAAGGGGTACCTGAGTAAGTGAGTAGGACAATAAGAGGCATGTCCACAGAGGAAGGAACAATGGAAGCACTAACTAAGGTGCATGGCTGATGATGTAACCCATGGTGCTGCCAAGGGTAGAGGAACCACAGGCAGGAAGAAGCAAAGGCTGCTGACTGACCACCTACTAAAGACACACACAGGACAGGTCATTGGTGGGTCAGCCTTACAGATGCTGACATCACACAGAGTGAAGAGGGGGGAAGGGGTGGATGAGCCAGAGCCCAGGCTACTAGGGAATGCCGTGTCTAAATTGGCAAGGACAGGGTGGAAGAGCTGGTGACACAGCTTTAGCTAGAATGGTGGCTCCTGCAGAAGGGGAAATTCAGGTGCTCTGAGAGTTGCATGGAGAAACAAGGAGACTTAGCCTGGCCTGGCCAGAGACAGAAAGTGAGGTAAAACCATCTGTCTTGGAGAGGGCCACAGGGAGACAGTAATGAGGGAAGTTGCCAAATTCCCTTCAGACAAGGAACTCAGAGAGGACTGCCAGAAAACAATGGTCTCGAATTTACCAGCTGGAATTTGCTGTGTTATTTTGGTTTTTTTATTACTATATAGCCCAGGCTGGCCTCAAACTCACAATCCTACTGCCTCAGTCTCCCAAGTGCTGGGATTACAGGCAGGTATCACCATGCCTGACTATATTATAATGGCTTTCAAAGTGAAGTTTAAAAAGAATTTTTAAAAATTACTTCAGCTAGGTGTGGAGGTTCATGCCTATAATTCTAGCACTTGAGAGACTCAGGCAGAATTGTGAGTTTAAAAAAAAAAAAAGAAAGAAAGAAAGAAAAAGAAACAAATAAAGTAAGAATTATGAATTCAAGGTCAGTCTGGGCTATATAGCAAGTTCCAGACCAACCAAGGCGACCTAGTAAAACCCTGTCTCAAAAAAAATAAATTTTAAAATTAAAAAAAATTCTAAATACCCAAATTGTGTTACCCAGCTGGTTTATGTTAATTAGTTTTGACTCCAAAATGTAATGCATTATAATATATTTATAATAATGCAATTAAAATGTATAATGACCTTATAGTAGTAGTGCTTAATGCTGCTTTGCTGGGAGAACTAAAGGCTTTCCCAATAACTTTTAAGGAAAAAACGAGAGGCAGGAAAGCCACTCTGGGGTGTTTCAAAGTAAGTACTCATGCATCCATCATTTAGCATATTAACTAAGACATCTTTCCAATACAGAAGAGAAGTCATGCCATGCACTGGGGAGGGGATGAACGAGATACAGTCCAATCCAGCATACCAGCAGGTCAGTCAGCACAACTGCACAGACCATGTAGGCTTCTTTCTCCCATGAAAAACTGTCTCCAATTACAAAACAATAACCAATGGAAATGGGAGTTTCATGAGAGCGTTACTGGAATACAGACACTTTTTAAAGTATTATACTAAGTACTGGGGAATGTGGCTCAATGGTAGAACACTTACCTACCACATCCATCCCCAGCACCACAAGAAAAAAGTACTATACTAGCTGGTCATCATGGCTCACTCCTAAAATCCCACACTCATGAGGCTGAGGCAGGAGGATCAAGAGTTTGAAGTCAGCCTGAACTACATAGCAAGATTCTGTCTCAATAAATAAATAAAAATAAAGTACTTTATTGCCTGTCACATTGGAAGAAAACAGGGAGCATTCCCCACAAGTGGTCACCGATGAGAGTAAGCCACTCTGGTGGTACAATAAGCTACACTCTGGAGCTGAGAGGCCTCATTAGTATCCCATGAAGTAGTATCTACTCTCCTGCTCATGGTAAGAGAGTTAAAAAGAATTCAAATACTGCAGATGGTATACTACTGTGTCTCACACACTGCTACAAAATGGTAATACTCGACCAAAGCCAGATTTACTTCCCGAGGGCACTGTGAAGGTTTATAAACTCTAAGCATCATTTCCACATCATCTTACCATTCCGGAAAACTTTATTGAAATCAAATCCTTGGCTGGCGAGAAAGTCAATGCTGGAGCTCTGAAACAAGAGAACAGAGGTTCTGGTGATGTTGGTGCAGGCACACCAGCAGAAGCAGACAAGGAGTGACATGCTAAGGTCAGAAGGTGAGAGCTCTCTCCCTGAGGCTGCCGAAAGGCCCACTCATGCACTCGATACATCTGGCCTCTTCTTCACAACTTATAAAGCAAACATCTGTTGTTTTACAATAGTTGCTAAAGATTCATTGGGTAAACAGATGTTCTCTCAATAGGTAGGAAGTTCCTGACTTCTGCTATACTGCCTTGCAGGCTATAATCAGAAATAAAATATATTATGTAACCTCACTTTAGGTGCACATCCACATGTGCAGGTTATAAGGAATCAATAATCACCTCATATCAGATATTGAAAGCCCCAAATCCTAATTTTATGTTTGGTCATTTTTTTTTTTTTTTTGACAGTGATGGGGTTGAACTCAGGGCCTGCTATGCAGGTACTCTACCACTTTACCCATGCCCCCAGTCCTTTTTGTTTTAGTTATTTTTCATACAGGGTCTTACATTTTTGCCCAACCTGGCTGGACCACAATCCTTCTATTTATACCTCCTGCATGACTTGGATCAAAGGAGTTTAGTATCACACCATGCTTATCTGCTGAAATGGGATCTCACTAACTTCTTGCCTGGTCTGCCCTCAAACCTGGAACCTCCTGATCTCCACCTCTGCAGTAGCTAGGATTACAGCCATAATCCACTGCACCCTGCCTAGATGCTCTTAATGCTTGATATCAAGAAAGAAAAGTTGACCTGAGTTCAATCTCCAGTACCCCAAAAAAAAAAAAAAAAAACAGAAAAGTTTTCAGTAATGAGCATATCTCAAACCTAAAATAAGTCCAAGTATGTCAGTAGATTTAAATTTGAAAAATTAAGTAAAAAGGCTGGGTGTGGTGGCAGACATCTATAATCCCAGCATCTGGTAGGTGGAGGCAAGAGAATCTCGAGTTCCAGACCAGTCTGGGCTACACAGCAAGATCCTGTCTCCAAAAGAAATTAGGTAAACAATTCTAGAGATGGTATACAAGTATGGTGAAATCATGAAACTCTCAAAGTGACTGAAGAAGGAAACAATGCTATAGCTACTTAAATTTTCCTCCTGGGTAAAGCTAGGACACCAGCAGGCTATAGGTGTGAGTCACTTTAACCCAGAGCCTCATGAAACTACTGTTACTGAGCTGGACTCCAGACTGAAGGACACCGTACCAAAAAGTTCCACTGAACACTATGTTAATGATTTCTTTCTGGTAGTTTAAGGGTAGATGTTCTGAGGTTTCTCCTCTGAGAGAAGTTTTCTTCTCGTGAGGCCTGGATTGTTTGGATCCTAGGAACCACCGAACTGACTGTGTGATTCCCACTTTTCTCAACTGCTCAGAAGCAAAGAAGACAGCTTAAGATTTCCGTTGGTATAAATCCCGTGTTCTAATCATACCACAGTAATCATATTTTTCTTTTCTTCCAATTTTTCATTTACTTATTCTTTGGTTGATACTGGGTTTAAACTCAGGGCCTCTAGTTTGCTAAGCAGGCATGCTACTGCTTGAGATACACTTCCAGCCATTTTTGCTCCAGTTATTTTTGAAATACTGTCTCACTGTTTTTCCCAGGCTGGCCTGGACCAAGACCCTCCTATTTTACACTCCCACCTAGCTATGATGACACGTACTTACCATCATACCCACCTACTGGTTGAAATGGGGTATGCCTAGCTTTTTGCCTGTGCTAGCCTGGACTTCAATCCTCCCAATCTTAGAATCCCAAAGAAATTAGATTATAGGTAAGACCCAACCCACCCAGCTTCATTTACTTTTTGTTTTTTTAACTCTATATTAAAAGGTAAATACAGTATATATTTTTATTGGCCAACACAAATCTCTATAAAACATGGTGGGATATAAAAAGACAATATTACCACAGTCACACATACATAACAACTTGGTTTTCTACAGCTTACAACAAGCAGAAGCCCACTAACCTCCTCTCCGACTGCCATGCCCAAGTATTCTTATATATTCCTCAATTCTTATACTTTCGCCTAAATACTCTGTATCTCTGGCAGAGGCACTAAACAATGGATTTGGGAAACACATTTTTGTCTTGCCTGTACTAGACTCCAAAACATTCTCCTTTCCTTTATCTCCATGAATCCACAGTCAAAGACTCATCTATTTCTTTTTTGAAGACATCTATGTCCCAATCAAAGCAACACCCTTTGGGTTGCCCAACAATGACAATGTGCTTAATGTCAATGAACTATACACTTAGAATGGTAAATCTTAATGAATATTTTCCCTCAATTAAAAAAACAACTTGCCTAGTATGCACGAGGCCTTGGGTTTGATCCCCAGCACAGCAAAAAAAAAAATGTAATCAACAAAGTTTATTTAAGGTTTATAATCCACTGCCATAGATTTATCCCACATTCACCACTTCCAAGATTCAAGAGATGGGCACAGCTACTTTAGAGGACAATTTGAGGCATCTATCAAAATTTTAAATGTGTATGTCCTGTCACTCTACAATTCCCCTTCTAGGGAATCTAGCCTACAGAAAAATCCCTACATATATAGAGAAATATATTGCACATGGATATTGACAAGAGCATGGGTTTTCTTTTTTTGCACAATATCAAGAGTCCTGATGTTTTCTTTCTTTTGGGTGTGGGGGAGGCAGTAACAGAATTGAGCCCAAGGTCTACCACTTGAACCATGCCCCCACCTATGTAGCATTGTTAACAACCACTGAATTATCTCTAAATTCTAAGGAACTGATTAAAGAAATTACACATATCTATACTATGAAATATGAAGACATTCTGTTGAATGGAAAATGTAAGTTATATAAAATATGAATACTCACATTCTACATACATTAAAGAAAAATACTAAAATTAAGTATGTGTATAGACATACGGGAAAATTTACATGTGTGCATAAAAAGGAGTGAAATGAGAAGGAAACGGCATGGAGAAAATGGTAAGAAAAGAAACTCACATGCTGCTCCACACTAGCATTTCGATTTTTCTGAACCACGTAAGTATTACTGCCTACGGATTCAACTACAGATGACGAGCCAGAAAAAGGAGGAGAAGAAAAGGTAGGAGGGAAGACAGAAGTCACGTACACGCCAAGAATGCTGCCTGCACTACACCAGTGTGTACATTCTCCTGGTTGTGCACCACATCTTATCGAGCAAGCAAGTATCTCACTGTGTGTACTTGTATTAATTTTTCAAAGAACACAGTAAGTTGTTTTACCCTCAAATCCTATATGGTTTAAGGGTTAGAAGAGCTCTTTAAGAGTAAACGTGACACAATTTTCATTTACTCACTGTCCCCTGTAAGATGCAACTCTGCTGCAGTTACAGACTTTTAAGCAAAATGAAAACCACCTTGAACAGGAAACAAAAGGAAAGAAATCCAAAGACGCAGATACACTGTCCATATAATTTACAAGTTACATGCTGAGTCTAAACCTTTTCTCTGCCTAGTCCTTTGCTCTTCCAGACTAGAGAAGCCCAGCATTCTATTCCTTCCCCCATTTTAGACATGAGTCTCTGGACTACTTTCAAGAGCATTTTTCAGCTGGAGGCATGCCTCAAGTGGTACAGCTCCTGCCCAGCAAGCATGTGGCCCTGAAATCAAACCCCAGTGCCACCAAATACATACATATATACATACAATGCACACAACCACACATAAACATATATGTGTGTGTATATACACACACATAATATATGCAAATATATAGTATGTCTTTGTTTTTAGGAGTATCTGGCAGCTAGAACTGTATGAAGTATTCCACATGTTGCCATGTTATGGCTTGTACATGGTGGAGGGTAATCTTCTGATTTGTTTCCAATACATTTCCCAGAATAACTATTTGTGCTGTTCCTTTAAGAGAAAAGGCCAACCTAAGGTGTGGCATTGTCACCTCTTGTTTTTGTTTGATTAGCCCCAGCCAAAGTCACAGATCCCTCTGGAGTTAAGTAGTTGCTCCTGTTACTCCTACAAATCTATGTCCACACAAATTTCCAAACTCAGCCAATTTTCTCTTGATGTACATCTACAAATACTATTTAATTAGGTACCTTATACTAAGGTGACTGGTAAAGCAGTCAAATACCTGTGGACTGATTTTAAGGCAAAGGAAAACTTAACTATGGCTTACTTGATAATTTAAGAAAACTGAAAGGAGGGAAAAAAATGAGCTGTGCATTGTGGCATATGTCTGTAATCAAGCACTTGGAAGGCTGAAGCAGGAGTATCACAGGTTTGAGCCCAGCCTTAACTACATAGTGAGACTCTGTCCAAAAAAAAAAAAAAAGAAAAGAAAAAGGACAAGGGGTTGGGGGGAAGGAAAGAAGGGCGGAGCAGGGCGCCAGTGGCTCATACCTGTAATTCTAGCTTCTCAGGAGGCAAAGATAACGAGGATAGCAGTTCAAAGCCAATAAGGGAAAATAGTTCATGCAACCATATCTCAAAACACTCATCACAAAAAACGGCTGGTGGAGTACCTCAAGGTGTAGGCCCTGAGTTCAAACCCCAGTTATCACACACACAAACAAAAAAAAGGGGCAGGAGAGAGGAAAGGAAAGAAGGGAGGGAGGGAAAACTAGCTAGAAGACCAAAATTACCTTCACTTTTCTCTTTTGCCCTCAGGGCATGCAATTAACTCTATCTCCTTGGTTTATACTTTGCTATCTCAGAAATCTACCCTCTTGATTTTCACAACTACATTACCACATCCAGAGAAAGGAAAAATGGCAAGAATCAAATGAACTAATGTTGCTACAAGGAGAAAAACTAGAACTCAAGATTACAAGAGAAAAAAGATTAGCACTTCTTTCTAATCACACATGCATCACACATGCATACACTCAGACCACCCATTCACGTTCTCCTTATCCATTACAACAGGTAATCAAGAAGGTACAAGAGAAACTAACATTTACCCAGTGTATTCCAAGTCAGCCGCCACAACCCTAGGGGGATCACCTAAGGGGAACCTCCTTGCTCCCTTACCTGGACCCATAAAGTAAGACCTCGCCTCTGTAAGAAGAAACTGTAGTCTTTTTTCCACTTTCTCTTTCCTAAGTGGTGAGCTTAGGGAAAGGACCTGAGCATAAGTAGTTTAGTCTCTTCTGGGCTCTTGCTTTCCGAACAGACTATATACATACTCTATACACATAGAGTGTTAGAGTCATTACACTTGTATATTAATGTTTTTTCTTATTTTTGGTCTTTTTTGGGCAGAACTGGAGTTTTGAACTCAAGACTTCACACTTGCTAGGCAAGTGTTCTACCACTTAAGCCCTTTTTACTTTTATTTTTAAGATAAAGTCTCATGTTTTTGCTCAAGCTGGCCCCAAAGCAAGATCCTCTTATCTCCACCTCCTGAGTAGCTGGTATTACATGAGTGCATCACCACACCCAGCCCCAAATTAACATTTTCTAAGCATAATACTTCTCCTCAATCCCAGCCAAAAAACAGTATCTTGATGATATTTAAAACAATAGCAAAAATAATTTGTTGAAAATATTTGGGAGATTACAGTTTCTGGTATTAATTTGATTTACAGGAAATATATGATTATTTTAATAATTTGGAAACAAGCCTATTTTAAGAAATAAAGCTCCTGTTGGGTTCTATCAAAAAATAAAGCTCCCCCTTGGAAGCAGTGCAAAGAGATTAGGACAGAGAAGCCTGCAAGTTCTGATGTAGGACTCAACTCAGAGAAAGATACTAACGTTCCCAAATGGGGTCACCTTCCAATGCCATGTTCCCAAATTCAGCTTTACTAATAATGAAGATCACATTCTGATTTCCATCTTATTCCTAAATGCATTATGAAGTAAAGGGGGAGATAACAAGGATTAATTTACAAACCTAAAACTGATGGCCATAGAGATGAAGTTATCTGCCCAAAGCACAAAGTTAGTAATAGAACCAAAAAAAAAAAATTGAGACAGGGTCTCCTGAACTTGCTATGTAGCCCAAACTTGTGATCCTCCCAACTCAGCCTCCTGAGTGCTGGGATTACAAGTATGTGTTACTACACCTGGCTAACATCATCATTGAACAGAACTTTTTTTTTCTTGCATACTGGGAATAGAACCTAGAGTCTTGCACATGCTAGGTAAGCACTCTACCACTGAGTTACATCCCCTGCATCTAAACTTTAAAAAGAATTCTGATCCCACCTTTCCATACTGCTTCATCAACCATTCATAAGAAAAAAAATACAATTATACAACTTACCTGACAAACAAATTTGACATCTGGTGAGGATCTACTGAAGGGTTTTGGGAAAACATAGAAGTTAAATGACTTCGTTACATACCTGAGAAAATAAGACAAAAGGAGACTTAGGGGGTGACACTGTACCACAACAAAAGAATTCCCACCATTTGTTAAAACAACCTACTTTGAATCTGTGTGGTCATACTTAAAAGTGCAAAGGCCAAACTGAAACAGCAAAAAGTCCATGGAATGCTGGAAAAGGGAAATAAAACATCTGTCACAACAGAGTTGCATATTCGACGTGGGCAGTAGTACTACCAATCAGGTGACTTTCTAAATCACTCAGCTTGCCTTTGGCAGAATACTTCTGATCGTAATAAGATTACCAAATTAGGTATCAGAAGCATTATTCATTTATGTACATTTCTTCATTGTTTTCCCAATCTACTTATCTATCATCCAGAACATCCTATTAGGCCTATTTCCAAATTATTAAAATAAACCTATCATATTCCCTACAAACTAATACCAAAAATAATAATCCTTCCCCAGAATGATTTCCAGCAAACAATTATTTTTGCCATTATTTTAAACATCACTAAAATATTGTTTTGTGGATGGGGTTGAGAAGCAGTAGGCATAGGAAGCGTTAATGTGTAAGTTTAATAGTTATCTCTCTCTAGAATTCAACAAAAGGAGGATCTATCTAGACAGAAAAAGAGTTTCAAGTGTATCCACTTGCCTTCTTAAGCTTCTGATACCTCTCTTCTGGAGTGTCAAAACCGTTTGTTAATGCAGTGACTGAGGGTCCATCGCTGATTCCTAAATTTTAAAAAGTAAATTTTTGACTTATTAACAGATGCTAGTCTCTAATTTCATATTCTTAAGACTTAAGATTGATTGGAAGTATGCCCTTCCTCATTTTTTCAAAATTTATGATTGTGGTTATAGCTCAGTGCTTACCTAGCATGTGAGAAGCCTGGGCTTTCATTCCCAGCTCCATCCCCCCCCCCACAAAAAATAAAACAAATAGCATTAATTTGGCCACCAAGCTAACTCTATAACAATAAACTTAAGAGTAAGCCAGTGCCAGTGGCTCATGCTTGTAATCCTAGCAACTCAGGAGGCAGAGATCAGGAGGATAAAGCTAGAGGCCAGCCTGGCCAAATAGTTCAAGAGACCCTATCTTGAAAATACCCAACATAAAAAGGGCTGGTGGAGGAGCTAAAGTGGTGGAGAGCCTGCCTACCAAGCTTGAGGCCCTGAGTTCAAAGCCTATTACAGTCAAAACAAAAAAAAAAACTTCAGAGTGAATTCTCAACATAAGAATGGGCAGTTCTCATGTCTAAAAGCAGTTTCAAAATCCAGTAATCATTTAAGGAAATGAGCTCGATGTTTAAGTTTGCTACTTTTTTTTTTTCCTTTTTTTGATGATACTTGGGTTTGAACTCAGGACCTGATCCTTGCTAGGCAGGAAATCTACCAAGTGAATTCCTCCACCATCCCATTTTGCATTATTTTTGTTTTGTTTTTTGTGCAGTGGGGTTTGAACTCAGGGCCTCATGCTTGCCAGGCATGTGCTCTACCACTTGAGTCACTCCACCGGCCTAGCAAGCATGAGGCCAAGTTCAAACCCCAGTACCTCAAAAAAAAAAAAAAAAGTGTTGGTAGACTATTATACACACATGTGTGCGTGTACACACACATATATACACCCACACACACACACTGCCAGGAGAAGCAATGAACACTTCCACTAATGCATAAAATAATATCCTAGGCTGGAGGTATGCCTCAAATAGAATGCCTGCTTAACTGGCAAGAAGAGGCCCTGAATTCAAACCCCAGTACCACAAAAAAAAAAAAAAAAAACTTGTTCTTTACCAGACACAAATGGACAAATATTGTAGGATTCCACTTATACAGTGTGTCTAGAGTAGTCAAATTCGTAAAGACAAATGATTGCAGAGACTGGGAAAAGGGAGGAATACAGAATTTGATGTGTAATGTGCCCATTTAGGAAGATGAAAAAATTCTAGAGCTTAATGCCACCAAACTGCAAAACCACTTAAAAATGGTTCCGATGGCAAATTTTATGGTTATGTATATTTTGCCACAAAAAAAAAAAAAGCCTCACCCTAATCCTCAAACTTTCAATCAAGTACAGGTCAAATTGTTTTAAGCTGCACCAAAACCATAATCTCTGTGTGCAACCCTCACAGCCTGACCAATCACAAAACTAATGTATCTCTTCCATGCTTTGGAGACGTTTAAGAAGAAACGCGGAGACTTCGGCAACTCGCCCAAGGCCACAAGAGCGAGGAAGAACCAGCAGACAAGAGAAGTTAGGGAACTCGGAGGACTGGAGTTGGGGAATGAAGGAGTCTGAGCTGTGCACTGCAAGGTGCTACCCCCAAGCTTGCAAGGGATACCTGAAAACTCCCCATCGATGGCGAAGAAGTCCGCCTCCTCTATGGCCTGGTACACTTTGTGAAGATTACTCTTAAAATCTGCGGAGAAACCGAGAAGAGGCTCAGAGGTGGGTGGCCTGACTCCTTGCCCACGGATTCCTACGCGGAGAGGGGAGGATGGCTGAGGGGCACCTGAGGTCGCGGGCTGCACGGGGACAAGTCCCGGAGGTGTGCAAAGCCTGGAGGGGCCACGCGGGGTTAACTCCCCAAGCGGTTTCCAAAGGTGCATAGGACGAAGAGGAACGAGGACCCTAGGGGTGCCAGAGCCGGAGGAAAGCAAGGGTGCTAGGGGAGCACGTTTCGCAGAGGGACAAGGCCCAAAGAGGTGCAAGGCTTTGGCGGGGGGGGCAAAGCCTAGCTAGAGTGGGGACTGACTCAGCCTGGGGCCCCGCCAAACAGGCTGCCCGTGGTCTGGGCCTAGCAGGCTGTGGGGGGAGAGCGTGGGGACGCGGAAGGTGCACGGCGGTCACGCACTGCTTCTGATTATCTCCATTCTGCAGAGTAGCCGGAACCCTGGCCCCGGCCTGGGCCCGCCTCAGCCGTTCTACTCGCAGAGTTCCGCAGCGACCACGGCAGCAGCGGAGGCAGCGGCAGCAGCAACAGAACAGACGGAGACGGCGACTTCCGGAAACAGCGCGCGCCTGCTGCGCCTGCGTCAGCGCTGGAGTCAGCGCCGGGGGCGGGGCCAAGGCTGAAGTCCTGTCTTTCCAGGGACAGAGGGGGAGGCGTGGCTACACAGGTCCCGGGGCGTGGCCTAATTCACGGAGGCTTTCCAAGATGAAATGCGTCTGTCCTGAGGTCTAGCCCATCACCAACTACTGAGTTCCTATTATGCGTCACTCTGATAGCGGTGAGGATACAAGGATGAAGTATGGTCCCTGCCTCACTGGAGTTTAAAACTTGGGATAGGAACCGGGTGCTGGTGGCTCACACTTGTCATCCTAGCCACTCGGGAGGCTGAAATCAGTAATATCACCGTTCCAGGCCAACCCCAGGGCAGGGAAGGAGAGAAGGAAACTTGCAAAGCCTAGCACGGAGATCACAAGTAGTAGACGCTCGACAAATATATCGGTGGGATGAAAATTCACCTTGGTCTTTCACAAAAGACCTCTGTGAAGTTGGTTAGAAGACTTGTTTGCAAAGGTTAGCTCAGCCATTAATAAACCCAGGAATACATTCAGCCTCGATAAACTTCAATTTCCTGGGATTGTACGCAGGCTAATTGGTGATAAGGTGTGTGAATTGTAAAACACTGTATAAACAAAGCCTTACAATTAAATGTTTTTTAAATGGAAATTTAGTTTCAGTGTGGAAATATGAAAAGGTCCTATAGATGGATAGTGGTGATGGCTGTCCAACCATGTGAGTGTACTAAGTGCCACTGCACTGTAAAACCACTATAACATGTTTTAAAGGGCCAGGTATAGTGGTTCATGCCTGTAATCCCAGGATTCTAGAGGCTAAGGCAGAATCACAAATTTCAGAACCTTCAGCTACATGGAGAGACTTTATCTTTAAAAAAAAAAAAAGGGGGGTGGGAGGGGGTGGGCTTGGCAGAGTAACCTAAGTGGTAGAACACCTTCCTAGCAAGCATGCAGGCCCTTAGTTCAAACTCCAGCACCACCAAAAAAGAAAAAAATAATAACTTTTATGTTATGTGTCTTCTACTACAACAGAGAAAAAAATGTTTACCATATACCTATTACCAGAATATTCTCCAGAAAATAAGTTCACACACTCCCTGTTTAACACAAAACACTTTTTTTTTTGTGGGGGACTGGAGTTCGATCTCAGGGCCTCACACTTGCTAGGCAGACGCCCTACCACTTGAGCCACTCCACCAGCACTGTTTTGTGTTGGTTATTTTTCAGATGATCTCAAGAGTACTGAGTGGCTAGGATTACAAGCGTCTGCCACCGGCGCCCAGCCAGGCATTACTTTTACGCTTTACCAACTTCACAGTCATTCCGAATTAGCAATTTAACAATCGCTACCTGATTTAAAACAGATAACCAGCATGAGTTCTCAAAAGACCCAGAGATTGTGGGGGGAACGTAATACGGTCATTTTCTTTTCTTTTTTTATAGTAAAGTTTATTAGAAAATGAATTTAACATAACAGGATAAGAGTGGGTTGAGATGGGTTAAAAAAAAAAATTTCCTGCCCCCCCCAATGCAGAAAATGGGAGTAGAAACTCCAGTAAGGTCATTTTCATTAACAGTCTTCAACACCACAAATGGAACTTTACCTGTAGCTCTGTGATTTTCTGCGTGAAATGTGAAGACAAAAAATTATTGTGGTCAGCATAGTGCGGCCTCGTAATATTATTTTAATTTCTGAGTAGGGTCTGTTTCCTCCGGATAGAGAAACAGCCGCCCGGGAGGAGCAGTCACGCGGAGGACCGTCCTCCCCCTGCGGCTGTAACTCCTGAGTTGCCGCCCTTGGTCAGCAGAAGAGGAAGGGGCGGGGTCTGCGCTGATGCGCATGCGCACACAGCCTCCGCCCCGGAGTGGTCGCTCTAGGCCGCGGGGAGGTCGCGGGGTTGCGGGGCCTGAGTAGCGACTGCTGCCTCTCCTCTATGGTCACGGGCCGGGGGCACTCTCCTCCGCGGTCAGTCCTAGGTTACTTCCGGAAGTGAAGCCTCCCCCTCTGCTGCTTCTGGGATCCTGGCCGGGGGCTATGGCCGGGTTAGCCCCTGGACGAGTGAAACGGGTAAGCTGTGGCGGGGAAGAGATTCAAGGGCGTGATTTCAGGGCGTGGTGTGGAAGATGGAACGGAATCCGGGCGGGAAGAGGCACGCAGGCCTTTTTTCACCCAGGGCTGGGTCTTGGGCAGCCTCTGTCCCGGCCGCGGGGTGCGGACCCCAGCTTGGCCCTCTTCCCCATTCCTTCCCGAGAGTCCCACGTCGGCATTGCAGGTCGCCGGGCCTCGTCTGTGTCCCCACGGCGTCAGGGTCAAAGCCAGTCACTTCAGTCCCCCGCTTCCCCCAGGGCCGGAGGGACGGGGCGTCGCTTCCACACTCCTTGGAAGGGGAAAGCCAGGAACTGCGGTCACAGCCTGTGACAGCCGCTAAAACTGATCGGGCCCGGGCTGGGCGCCCGCTTAAGGTCTAATTCGCTCAGCACGTTCCTGCCCCAAGGAGAAGCTAGGGTAACGGAAGCGCAAAGGGTGAAAATGAAACCCCAAAGTCATACTTGGGCTGTAGTAGAACCCGGCTTCTCTTATTCCTAGCCTCATGAAGCAGAAATCTTAACTTGTGCAAAAGGGACTTTACAGAAAAAAAAGAGAAGAGAAAAAGAAAGAAAAGCGGGACAGATGAGTCAGCTTGTGTCTGACTGGGGATCGATCTTTGGCGGGACAGGAGGCGACCCTTCAACTTTAGTAGTAAAAAGAAAGTGAGAGTCCAGACTGTCACGCCCTCAACTCTCTCTACTGGTCGGTCCTTTGGGGTGGCCCCGACGTCACGCGAGAAGAGGCCAATAGGAAGGAGTTTTGCGCTCATCCTCAGGCACACGCGAGCCAGCGGACAGCACGTGCCAGTGAGGTTTTGGTTGATCTTGTCCCTAGTGTTTTGTAAACAGCCAGCTAGGAGGTATCCTGACCGAAGGGTTTGCGTTTTCCTGGGAATTTCCATAAACCTCATGGACAAACTAATTGTTAGGGGCAGTTCTGTCCTTTTTCCATCCTCCAGTGTTGATACTGCCATTAATTACATTATAGCCAGCACTCAGTAAAATAGTACTTTTAAAATTCCAACAGTAGTATCAATCAATCAAACAACAAAGTCTTTTTAAGTATCCATGAATGCAGTTTGTCATCAACAACCCTGCAAGGTTAATAGGTTGCCTGACATCATGCAGCTAATAATTGGTTGAGCTGGATTTTTAGCTCAGTCATTCTGGCTCGAGTTTGTGCTGATTGGGACTAAGGGTGGAGCTCAGTAGCAGAATGTATATTTAAGATGCACAAGGCCCTGAGTGCAATTTCCAGCACCCCAAAAAAAAAAAAGTTATGTTGCTTGTTGGCTGGCTGTAAAGATTCTTCAATGACCAGCTTACAACTGTGGGGTTACACACACAACACACACACACATACACACTCCCCTGGTTCTGGGGTTTGATCTGAGCTCCATGTTTGCTAAGCTAGCACATTGCCACTTGAGCCACACCTCCAGCCCAAAAATGATTTTTTTGTTGTTGACATCGATTTTTTATTTTATGGCAGTACTGGTGTTTGAACTCAGCGCTTCGTATTTGCTAGGCAGGCGCTCTACCACTTGAGTCATTCCTCCACCCCTGTTCTGTGGGTTTTATTTTCTTGTAGTTTGGAGGGTTTTGAGCAAAGGAAGGACTTGATTGCAGTTTTGCTCAAGGAAGATGATCCAGGCAGTGAAGAAAGAAGAGCTTGACAAGCAGAGGATGGGGAGTGTTGTTTAAACTGTATTTTATCCATACGTTTTCTGAGGTATATATATACATATATACCTCGTATACATACATATGTATGTGTATATATATATATATATATGTAGGCCTGTGTTTATTTATATGCAACAACTCTCTAGTTCCTACACTTTCATGGACATCAGAATCTCCTGAAGGGCTGTTTAAAATGTATAGCCAGCCCTTCATGTCCTTGCATTCCATATCCATGAATTCAACCAACCATGGATGGGAAAATTAAGTTCCAGAAAGTTCCAAAAGGCAAAATTTGAATTTGTCTTGCACCAAGCACTACACTGAATTCATGTGACTGAAGTAGTGTGCTGTTGTAGCCTCCTGCCACTTCATAGCTCCTTGGTCTCTTCAGCACTCTTCTCGTGTTGTTTGCTTTGTGTCTTGTTCATGCACTCTGTAGTTAGACTTCCATGGTGGCATCTGCACTGAACATACGCAGACTTTTTCCTTATCCTAATTCCCTAAACACCACAGTGTCACAGCTGTTTACACAGCATTTCCGTTTACCAGGTATTTTAAATCTAGAGATGACTTGAGGGATCTAGGAGGATTTGCACAGACTATGTTAAGTGCTCTGCCATTTTACACAAGGGACTTGAATTTCCACAGACTTTGATGCGTACAAGGTATTCTGGAACCACCCCCTCCCATTATACCAAGGGATGACTGCATTCGTCTTTCTTGTTCCCAGACATTCTGTTCAGGTTCACCCAACTTCCCAGGTGACCGGGATGGAGATGTTGAGAACTGCTGTCATAAGGAGTTAAATATTTGAGGGTTTGGTTTTCATCTGCAAATATCTGGAGCCCAGCATTAGCCACTCTCTGTGGCTTGGTTCCTGACCTCAAGGATCCCACATATTGGTTGGAGAGGGAAAAATGTGACTGAAACAATAGTGTATCCAAAGTGTAGGAATGAAGTCAGTGAGCACATTTTATTTTTCAGAACCTAAAACATTGAATTGTTCAGTAAACGCTTAGGGCATGACTCGATTGGTAGAATGCTTGCCTAGGAAGCAGGAGGCCCTGAGTTTGAAACCCCAGCAGTGCCAAAATAAGTTTATACAGTATTTGGACCTTTGCAGTTGACAGTGGAGAGACATAGTGGATTTTGGCATAAGATACAGGTTCACTTCTCTCTAGCAGTTTACCATGCAGAAAGAGTGCTGAGCTTGGTAACGTCAGTGTCTTGAGCTCACAGAAAGTTACTAACATTATTGATTGTGTTCACCCAAGCCCAGCTCAGCATTAGGGACTTTGAGAGATAACCCCCCCAAAATAAAGTACAAAATGGGCCTCTTTCTAGTCAAGACCTTACTCTAGTTGGGGAGACAAGGCCAACTTGCAGAGAGTTGGATTCACAGAGTGACTTCTACAAGGATGAAAGTGTGCAGCTGAATCTTGAGGCATCAATGCCTCGTTGTCCTCCAAAGGACCACTGTGACTAATTCTCCTGGCAAACCTGTGGCCAGCCAAACCTACCATGCTTCACATCTGAATCACCGCGCTTCAAAGTTCAGGCAGCATGTTACCATCCAAAGGAGCTATTTTTGTCCTAGTGATTTGTGACCCTGTCCAGAAGGAAAGTCCTTTTGAAATGAGGATAGCACCAGCTTTCATACATCAGAGGCTGGAAATGTTTCTTTTTTATTAATGAACCAGTTTTGCTGTGTGCAGGAAAATCACAGAATATTCTGTTCTTATTGCCATTGCTGACCCTGCCTTACTTAATTTGGGTACATTTATTTTTATTTCATAGTCACTGGAGATGGATGGGCACTCTTTGGATATTTAATGTCTGAAGTCTTGGGCCTGTGTTTATACGGGTATCCCCAGGACTGGACCTAGCATGCCAGAAGTAGAAGTTCCCCGCCCCCTCCCCTGTTTCATTATGAATGTTTCTCTGCAGAACAGCCTGCTCACCCTAACAGCTAACAAACAGCTGCAGTTTGTGTTCCAAACCATTCTCATACTTAGCTTATTTTCTCTAGTTTGTTGTTCTCAGCTGTGCAATAACAGCTCTGCGGTACTGGAGAGTGTTTTATAAAGACAGGCTTTAAGTCAGAGCATGAGTCAGGCTCTAACCTGACCCTGCCCTTCACTAATTAAGCCTGCATTTTCGCAGCTGTAAAATGGAAGTGACAGCAATACTTTCCCATTGTAAGGACTCAGTAAATACTAGTAGTTGCTATTCTCTGTTGCTGGGCAATGTGTAATAAGAAGAAGTAGCTAACAAGAGGCCCACAGAAGCCAAAATGTTTTCAGTCTTGTACTGAACATCCTTCCAAAGAAATAATTGAGAGATTTTTCAGGCTGGAACCCCAATAAATTAGCCTTTAAAGTATTATTCCTAAAAATATGAGTCATCCACCACAGTCAGAAGAAATGTATTTTTTGTTGTTGCTTGAGACCATGTAATCCAGGCTGGCCTTGAACTCGAGATCCTCCTGCCTCAGGTTCCCAAGTGCTAGGACTGTAGGTTTGTACCATCACACCCAACTAATAAATGTGCATTGATACAGGCTAGAACTGTAGTCATGTACCGCTGAACCAAGCAGTGTGAAGATTATAATTTCCAAAGAGCTAGCAATCATCACGTAATAAGATCTTTATACTCTAAAGTAGAAAAAAAAAATTTTTTTTTGGTGGGGAGCAGGGTTTGAATTCAGGGCTTCACATTTGCAAAGCAGGTGCTCTACCACTTGAGATGCACCTCCAGTCCATTTTGCTTTGGTTATTTTGGAGATGGAATCTGTCAAACTATTTGCCTGGACAAGCCTCAGTCCTCCTGATCTGAGCCTCCCAAGTAGCCAGGATCACAGACTTGAGCCCCTGGCACCCAGCTGGTATAAAAATTCTTAAATATAAAATTAATACATTTTTTGATAAGCTCAATCAAAATTACTCTGTTAATTGACTGTCCTAAATAGTAGTGACTTTTCTAAACGAGTGACTAAAGAAGCAATGGGGCTGGGGATGTAGCTCAGTAGTACAGCACATACACAAGGCCCTGGATTCAAGTCTCAGCGCCATAAGAAAAAAAAAGGAAGCAGATAGATACCAGTGCCACCGTCTCCTTCTGGATAGTAGCCCTCCACATACGTCCGTAGATAAGCACTAGATCCGCTGATAGCTTGCCTTCCAAGGATGGAGTAGTCAGCCTCACTGCAGGCTCTTCAGCGGGGTAGCATCATGGAGACTATGCGTCAGCCCTTTCTTTCTTTGAAGGATTTCGAAATAACTAGACCTCTTCAGT